CTTTCCGAGGCACCGGGGTGAGACATCGCCAACTTCCTGACTCCAGGCAACTACTGAGAATTTCTTGACGGAAAAACTCAATAATACCTAAATTTTTTCGGCCCGACCCGGGATTCAAACCCAGGACCACATGATCAGCAGTCGCACAACTACAACCACTAGACCAACGAGGCTGTCATATACAATATGTAACGTAATTAACGCACTTTGAGAAAGTATTTTGTTCAGAATCGTTTACTGAATCGTTTCCTATCATTTTTAATATAGGTAATTTTTTATCCCAAAAATAATTAATACTACGTAAACCACAGTCACACTAAATCTGTACAGTCAAAATAAACTGAAATGGACCGTAACTTAAGGCAATAAGACTTTTAAGAGTGTAGTTTTATTTTTATTATTACTAATTCTGTCACTCAATAAAAATAAAGAAAAATGAACTTTATTTCAAGCACATTAAAGTCTTTGCGTTCGTGGATTTGTACTGTGACCACAACATTCTTCCGGAATTAGTTAGGAATTATTTAATTATAATTAGGAATTATTATTTTGATAAATAATCAGTGCATAAAAATGTTTAACTAAAAATTCAGTGTATGTATTATGATTTTAACATAATATACTAATTGGGGTGTCTGAGGGTGTGCGTTAATTACGTTACATATTGTATATTATTAATGGTTGATATATAATATTTTTTATATATAAAATTGATCATTGAGAAGTTTTTTTAAATAAAAGAATTAAGTATGAACACAAACTGCAAAATGTAAATAAAGACAGCATTATACTGCAACAGTTTTATAATAAAATTATTTTTATTAATTATTTTTAATGGTACTTGAATAAACATTTTTGTACGTCTTTATTTTATTTAAACTTTTTCCTGTAGATGTTACTCTAAATGTACTTTACACGGCAACAACTAGGTGTAAGTATATGTATTGCTAGTCATTGTTAGTTGATAACTTTAGGAATACAAATATAATTGTTGCCAACTTTAGTTACAATCGGGAGAGTGAGTACAGTAACGTAAATGTGGTAGAGCCATGAGGTAGCCAAGGTAGAGCTTTATCATGTTTGTAGCACGAATGGGTTGGCTCAACCGGGGTAGTTTTGTATGGTGAATGTAGAGAACCGGAGACCCTTTTTACTGGAAAAAAGGCATTCCACGTTAGTCCTCAGGGGTGACAACGCATCTGCATTTGATGCTTAATAATTGATAAATGAAGATGTTTATGAGCCATAGTATCCACTTACCATCAGGTGGACGACTGTGTGCTCGTCAACATAGCTTTATTAAATAAATAAAAAACAATCGCATGTCGACACAAACGTGTGAGGACTTGTCAGTGGCAGACACGGGTCGCAGATATTCAGGGCTGAGCATCCGTACCGTCAAGTTTTAGTCTGCTACGGACCGCCGTATGCGTATCAAATTAGTTTGATAAAAAAATTATCCGCTGGTGTTGCTACATCCGCTACACACAAGCGTGTTTAGGCTACTGTAGCTCGAACTTACTAATGTTACCATTGTATTAGGCGTTAGTATTTTTTTATTTTCCTAGAAATATTGTATTTGAAAATATGTTATTTGTCATAACATTTCCTTTATAAGGTTTACATTTGCTTGCAATAAATTGTGCTTGCAATACTATGATAATCAAATCAGAAATTTCAGTTCTTTCGAGTTACTTGTTACTTTGGTAACAAGTAACTCAGTAGCTTATTGGCAGAGCGTCAGGAATGGTGAGCTAAAAGATTGTACATTAATGTTCTGCCTGTAGCGAAATTTCCCTTCGTATATTCTTCATGTCTTTATCACATTCCAACCTGCAGGTGTTTTAAAGTACGAGGAGTAAGAGGAGGACGAGAGAGGAGGCTGAGATACGCAAACAAAATTATTACAAAAGACCGAAAACTGAAACGAATCCCGGTGCCTCATCAACCCGTCTGGGTCTGGCTTATTGTATGATATATAGGCTATATAGGCGTACCAGAAAAGAACAAACTCGGTTTAATACATTTTCTAGAAATCTTGTACGTTTCTAATCTGAAAACATATATAAAATAGGAAAGGATAATATATTACATATGTACAGTATCTTTCATATTTTATTTAACGTTTATTTTGATCGATATCGATAAATTATTACGGTACAACAATATTAATGCACAAACTGACAATCTACATACACAAAGACAATCAGTTTTTAGTCTCGTTTGCTGGTTGTAGTTGCCAATCTATAGAGTCTATACTACATAAATCTATGAACTGCACACATGTTTTTTTTTTGCGGACAGACTGGCCATACGGCCAACTTCAGAGGCTGCCCTCGCGCATATCGCCCCAATCTCGGCAACAAAGCTGCCACCGGTCAATGACCGCACATTCTCGGCCCTCCCATCCAAAATGCCCCCACAGGGCAAATCTCAGTCACCTCAGGACCTATATCGGCCCCCTCAGGAACCCTACCGGCCTCCTCACCTCCGCCCACTAGGGCCCCGACATCAGGCGGAACCCTCTTACGCCGATAACGTAGATACAGTATATACTGCTATCCGCAATATCGACGTAAGAGAGATCGCAATTTTAGCACTCAAACTGCGCGCTTCTCAGTCCCCTCAGGACCGTTTGCTCGCGCTTACCGAGCATTAACACCTCCTGAACTCAATATAATTAGTCATCCCATTCCATTCGTAAGCTGCCTTAATTAAGCAGCAACTCTTCCCAGCGGCTACTCACCGCTAGCGCCCTCCTTTCACCCAAGGGGGGTCGCTCCGATACGGCATAAGAAAGCTTAAACAGCCAGTTGCCAGTCCCTAAAGGCGGTTTTTAGAGGGTATCACTTAGGTTCCCCGGTAGGATGTGAGTCCCTCATAACCACGATAGTCGGGCTATCGTGGTATTCGTAATGCATTTTCCGCCTCCCTACATAAAGGGTAGCCCTTTCCAATTGCTTCGGGCGCAAAAAAAACATGTTTTTTTAACTTGTTGGCTTCTGATTCCAAGACAGCGTCGTAGGGTTAACGACATTCCTCATGAACGCACACACACACACACACACACACACACACACACACACACACACACACACACACACACACACACACACACACACACACACAAACAAACACACACACACACATACATACACACACATATACACTGCTAGCTCGTACTCATACATCCACGCACACACGCACGCAGATAAACCTACTCCTTTCTTAAGTAAGGATTTTGGGACATTCAACCTTTGAAAGGGTGAAATAGGTTGTTACAGCTTGTACTGTATAAACTAGACTAAGTAGGGAACAAAGCATTTTGATTTTGAATTAACGTCAAGGAAAGGAAATGTCAGTGGGTCAAATAATAAAGACGAAAGGAAAAATTGAAAAGAAATTTATGACCGAGTATATAGCGCAATATGAAAGAACGAATCTCTTTTATACAGGCTCGTTGTTAGCTAAAAGTTCGGTGTACTGTAATCAACAACTTAGAACTTCTCATTGAATAAAACTACTTATACTTATTTTGTAAAAATCGTTTTCTTCAATGTTTTTTTTAACACAAATAGGAAGCGATTTACTGTAAAAGTAAATTTACTGTATTAATTAGTTTTTTGCGTATGCAACCCTATGTATATTGCATTACCCAGGAAATAAACACGTTACCTTTGAGTTTGCAGTACGAATGGATTGGCTTGACCGGGGAATGACTACTAAAAAGAAGAGCAACATAATTTTGCTGCTTTATATATGAAGAAAGACAAGGACCGGGCACTATTTTAGCCGAAATCAAAAAAGTTAGAGGTTTTGTTGTTTTTTAACTGACTTCAAAACGGAGAGGGTAGTCAATTCGACTGTTTCTCATGTGGTCCCATTTAAATTTAATCAAGATCTGATCTGTAGTTTTTGAGTTATCCTTAATAATGTGTATTTAATTGACTTCGACTACATTGATGTTCTCATTTTATTTATATTGAAATTGGTTGTAATTTTTTTAACTTTATCCTTGGTTTTTTTTATATAGATATTACACTATATCTTCATCAATTGGGAAATGTTTTTTATAATTCATACATTATTAAAAAGGTTATATTAGGAGAGTAAGTGGACTTTTCAAAGACTTTTTATTTTTTATAAAATTCCTTGAAATTACCTATTAATTTTTATTAAATCTATTAATTATTTCTACTGGTATCATCTATAAAAATACTGGTATCATCTATAAAAAGTCACTATAGCATAGTCTTGTGTGTCAACCGACTTTAAATTGGATGGATCACTAATCCTTTGAAAACACCGATTCCTGACAGGGATGTTTCTCGAAAGTGGGGATTTCAAAGTAAATTATAATTAAATTTTGGATGAAATCCGTAAAATTTGTTATATTCAATGATAAGGAACGGATTTCGCTGCGATTGCGTGAATGATATTTAATTAAGAATATTGTGAGGTTAATTATTCAAAACAAGATAAGTTCTTAATTAGAAAGAATTATACTCAATTTTTAACAAGGTAAAGCTACCTTGCAGCTATGTTATGGTTGCAGCACCAATGAATTGGCTAGACCGGGGTAGGACCACGCTCTCACAAAATATATAGCGTGAAATAGCAGTACGCTGCTGTATTTCGTATGGTGAGTGTAGATTACCGGAGATCCGTATACTAGAAACGAGGCATTCCATTTTAGTCCTCAGAGGTGACAACGTATCTATTAGGGTTAAGTGCTCGTAGCTATGGCCTTAATTGTTTAAAATACTATGGAGTACATTTTTTTTTAAAAGTCCCGCTGGATTTCTAGGCAGAGGTTTTGTCCGAACCAGTGGTAAACAGTGTAATGTATATTAAATAAAATTAATTCTACTCTATTCTATTGTGTATTTTTCGAGTAAATATAATAAATAATTAATATGAGAACGTTTAAAAATATAAAAATGGAAACTATATAATTTCAAAAAAAGATAACCTAAAAACCCTTTTTTTCGTTTTTACAGGCGCTATATTCACTGAAGAGGCCCGGGGAGGCAGTGCGGAGCTCGCTTTTAAGTACGCGGTCTACAGGATTAATAAGGAAAGAAGTCTGCTACCCGGAAGTACACTCGTCTACGACATACAGTACACTACATCCAGGGACACTTTCAGGACTTATAAGAAAGGTAAGTCCAATTATTATCAGCGCGAGTAGCATTCACTTCCTGAGGGTTCCGAATAGAATTAATTTAATGGAATGCCACAAAAATTGGTCCTGAGCCACCTGTATAAATTGACTTTTTCACGTCTTATCAGGTCGTCACTCCATATAGAGGGCGGGGGCCTTACCTTCCCATCGGTTGTTGGTTCTATATATATATATATATATATATATATATATATATATATATATATATATATATATCTATATAGTACCCGGTTGACCGAGCTTTGCTCGGTATTTTTCGCTCGGTTTTTTTTTAATTCGTGTGTTTTGGAAATTATATTTAGATATACTCGTAAATTACATACTGATGAAATACGAATAATATTTTTTGATCTTAGCGACATAATAGGAAAAACTGAACTGGTTATTTGAATAAAAATCATGAGTGCAATTAGTTTAATTTAAATTGTCGTGTTGTTAAAAATACTAAAAAAGGGCTCGAAAAATAGATTTTCTCAAAAAAGAAAGGAACTTGAAAAAAAAATTAAAAAAGTCGGTCGGTCGGTCTGGGCTCGTATTACGATTTTGTGACCGCTCAATATACCAATTAAGCTATTTGTAATCATTAATAAACTGTCAAAATTTCTAACGATATTGTAGCAGTTTTTCATTGGTTAAAAACACGGACAAAAAAGACATTTTCTAAAAATAAATCCTAGCTAGATCGATTTATTGCCTCCGAAACTCCCCGCACACAAAATTTTATGAAAATCGTTGGAGCCGTTTCCGAGATTCCGATTATATATATATATATATATATATATATATATATATATATATATATATATATATATATATATATAATATTCATCGTATTCATAAGCACACACGCCTGTCACCCAGAGGGGTAGGCAGAGACTATAGACTTCCATTTGGCACGATCCTGACACACCTCTCTCGCCTCTTTCACATCCATATACCTACACATACATGCTCGTCGGTTAAGGGTAGCACGATCGGTTAAGGGTAGGTAATTTGGACCCTTTTCAATAGATTCGGTCAATTTGGTCGGCAAACTTTCGACTAGGGCGTCCCATCACACCAGCAACATAAATTTGCTTTGTCACTCTTTCCTTTTTTCTACATGACCAAACCGCCGAAGTATTCCTTTCTTAATCCTCGTCACGACATCATCTTGCTTACCAGATTCTTCTCTTGTTACACATTTTCTCACCGCGGCTAAGTTGACATCTCATCTCATGGCACTAGCGCCATCTAGTGTCGGGTAACAGGGCAGGGTCAAATTGAAGAACTAATCTTTCTAGAAGCTCTACACTCGAACTTTCTGCGCTTGGTCGGTTGGCGCGCGTATTTACTCGAATATTCTGGAATATTCTAAATGTTTTCGTAGAAGAGCCCTATATAAAGGCGCTGCAATACGCGATCGGGGAAGTATTGAATTTGGCGAGACAAGCGAAACTTCGGAGCGGAATAAAGTGAATCAGTGTGATTAATTATTGGTGTTTTAAGTTTTAATTTGTGTAAAGAAAATTAAAGTGCTAATTTAGGTAATTCTATCGGCAATTTTTAACTGTCACGAACCTCAAGCTCGTAACAATTGGTGTCAGAAGTGGGATAAAAATCATGCCGATTTTACCTAAGGAGGAAACGGAGGGTGTCCGTACCCGAAGTCAACGCCAGCAGGAGACGGACCAAAGAAGATTTGGTGGTGCAACGCCGCAGACATCGGTGGGCCAGCCACCGGCTGCAGGCCCGTCTGTAGCCCCTACATCTGCAGCACCTGACTTAGGTGCTCTGATGGTGATGCTGCAGTAGCAGGCTCGCCGACAGGAGGAACAGGCCCGTTGGTTGAAAGAGCAGCAGGAGGAACAAACTCGCCGACAGGAGGAACAGGTTCGTCGGTTGGAAGAGCAGCTGCGGGGCGGACAAGAGGAACAGGTCCGTCGTTTGGAAGAGCAATTGCGGGGCGGACAAGAAGAACAGGTCCGTCGTTTGGAAGATCAGCTGCGGGGCGGACAAGAGGAACAGGCCCGTCGGTTGGAAGAGCAAATGCTCCTCATGAAGGATCTTCACGCTACCTTCGGGAAGGAGATAAAGGAGGTTAAGGATAGGGTTGCTCAGCATGACAACCGCCTGTCGGAAGCTGAAACCCAAATCGCGAAGGCTGAAACCCAAATCAAGGAAGCTAAAACCCAAATCGACCAAGTGAACAATCGGGTAGACAACGTGGTGGCTGATGTGAAAAAAACGCTGGACGATCTCAAACTAGGGGATGGAACTACACCTCCCGTAGTAGCTACAACACCTTCAGTACGTGGATTCAAAGTGCCACCGTTCGACGGGACTTCTTCCTGGGCGGCTTACAAAATCCAGTTCGAGGCTGTTATGACGGCAAACGGCTGGAATAAAAGTCAGGCCATGACTGCTCTCACACTAGGCCTGCGCGACCGGGCCTTAACTGTTCTAGAAGCTCTCGGTAAAGAAGTGACTTACGAGCAGGTCCTTGAGGCATTGGAGGCTAGATATGGCGACGCTCACCTGGAACACGTCTTTCGAGCGCAGCTTAGAGATCGCGTGCAACGCAGCAACGAAAACCTGCAGCAATGGGCTCTAGAGGTGGAGAAGCTGGTGTGAAAAGCATACCAGTCTGTACCTGCGCTCATTGAAGGGAACCTGGTGCAGACATTCATCGACGGCATCCGCGACCTGGAAGTCAGAGCTGCTGTGAGGCTCGGGCACCACGAGACGCTTAAAGACGCCTTGGCCCATGCACTGGAGGTGGAAGCCGTGCGGCAGGATCATCGGTCCCATCGCATCAGGGAGGTTGCAGCAGCTACAGTACGCGATCGCAACAAAGAATACAGCCCTAAGTGCTATGGCTGTGGGGAAAAGGGCCATCTTCGATCCAGCTCCCCTAAGCGAACCCTAGAAAGGGAAGGTGAACGATCTCAGGAGGTAAGTGCGGCCAACAGCACCGCCCAGCAGCAGCAGGGAAACGAGTAAAAGCCAGAACTGCGGGGCGAGTGCTGGCTGATGTTAAAAGAGCCCCAAGGATCTCGATCTCACAAACCCATGATGGGAACAGTCTAATCATCAAGGGCAAGGTCAACGGAGTGCCGTGTAAACTGACCATAGACACTGGAGCCTCTCGTACGGTTGTTAGTTCCCAACTCATAAGTAAGTTCCTTGGGGACTCCGCATACAACCGAGAACGCATTAATTTGGTAACAGCCACCTGTCAGCGTATACCCGTCCGTGGAGAGAAGGAGATGGAGTTAAAGCTAGGCAACATGATCTACCTGCATAATGTCATCGTGGCTGATATAATGGACGACTGCATCCTGAGCCTAGACTTTATGAGGAATAATTGTTGTGAGATCGACGTTAAGCAAGGTGTTTTGAAATGTGAACAGGAGGAACTTTTTATGGAAGGTGCGTTACCAGGGAACGTGTACAGTATTAAGAAGATTGTTCTTCCGCCGAGATCGGAAACGATTGTTCCGGTTAGTCTTCCTCGAAACGCTGGGCAAGCTCACCGTTGTGTACTTGTGGAAAGGGTAAACAATGACCTTCCATGGAAAGTGGCTCGAACCTTGGTCAGAACCACCGACATCTCAGGAGTACGTGTGCTGAACCTTTGTGACCGGGAACAGATTATAGAAAAAGGCACGCTGGATGGTACTTCTGAGAAAGTGGGTTGGTTACATCGGTGCCAATATCTATCGAGTGAGACCCCCAGCAAGGATGCACGAACGAGGGTGACCACACTTTTGGAAGACTGTCGCAGCGTTCTCTCCCCGACGGAAATGGTCAAGGTGAAGAAGTTGTTACTCAAGTATGCCGATGTATTCTCATCAAACGATACTGACATAGGAAAGGCTGGCTTAGTTCAACACAAAATAAACACAGGAGAAGAAGTGCCTATCCGTCAGCGACCAAGAAGATTGCCGGTAGCACGTGAAAAGGAAGTGGAAACCATGATTGAAGGAATGGTAAAGGATGGTGTTATTGAACCTTCCTCTAGTCCATGGTGTTCACCAGTGGTGCTGGTAAAAAAGAAGGATGGCAGCATGCGGTTTTGTCTTGACTACCGCCGTCTGAATGACGTTACGAAGAAGGACAGCTATCCCTTGCCAAGAATTGATGACACGCTGGACATGCTTACAGGAATAAAGTGGTTTAGCACGCTGGATCTAAAAAGTGGCTACTGGCAAGTTGAAATTGACCCTAAGGACAAGGAAAAAACTGCGTTCTCGGCGGGAAAGGGTCTGTGGCAATTCAAAGTAATGCCGTTTGGGTTGTGCAATGCTCCAGCAACGTTTGAAAGGCTGATGGAGCTTGTACTTACTGGGCTAATTGGCGATGCCTGTCTGGTCTACTTGGATGACATCATCATCGTGGGCCGTACGTTTGAGGAACACCTTCAGAATCTGGAACGCGTGCTCATGAAGATTCAGAGTGCCAAACTCAAGTTGAGTCCGAAAAAATGTTCACTATTCAAACGGCAAGTCAACTTTTTGGGGTATGTAGTGTCGGAAGAAGGTATCGGTACGGATCCGGAGAAAATCGCCGCTGTCAAGGATTGGCCGGTTCCAAAAGACAAGACGCAGGTTAGAGCAGACCGAGAACGGTTTTACTGGGTCCACTGTCGAAACGATGTCGAGGACTGGTGTCGCAAATGTACAAGTTGTGTGGCTGTAAAGGGACCTCAGACTCGTAGTAGAGGTGCACTGAAGTTGTACAATGTTGGTGCACCATGGGAGAGAATAGCCATTGACGTGGCGGGACCGTTCCGGAGAGTGAAAGCGGTAACAAGTATTTCATGGTTTTGTGGATTACTTCACTAAGTGGCCAGAAGTATTCGCCATTCCAAATCAAGAAGCTTCAACAGTTGCTGATAAGCTAGTTCATGAAGTCTTCTGTTATTTTGGAGTACCTTTAGAGATTCACAGCGATCAAGGAAGGAATTTTGAGTCTCAAATATTCCAGGAAACTTGC